TCTGAGAGGCTTTATAAATCTATAATAAAATGTGATGGATGGCCCTGACTGGTTTGGCTCAGTGCTAGAGCAGTGATGGAGAAACTTTTCAGCTCGGCGTGTCAGCATTTTGAAAAACCCTAACTTAACTCTGGTGCCGTGTCACATATAGAAATTTTTTGATATTTGCAACCATAGTAAAACAAAGATTTATATTTTTGATATTTATTTTATATATTTAAATGCCATTTAACAAAGAAAAATCAACCAAAAAAAATGAGTTCATAGGTTCGCCATCACTGGACTAGAGCATCGGCCTGCGGACTGGGGGGTCCCAGGTTCGATTCCAGTCGATGGCATGTACCTTGGTTAAAAGAGGTCATAAGGGTGGGGCCCTAGATAAATTTGATGGTTTTACAAGAAGAGGAAGATTCTCTCTCCCTCCCCAGTTTGGCTCAGTGGATAGAGCATCAGCCTGCGGACTCAAGGGTCCCAGATTCGATTCCAGTCAAGGGCATGCACCTTGGTTGCAGGCACATCCCCAGAAGAGGGTGTGCAGGAGGCAGCTGATCGATGTTTCTCTCTCATCGATGTTTCTAACTCTCTATCCCTCTCCCTTCCTCTCTGTAAATGTGTGTGTGTGTGTGTGTGTGTGTGTGTGTGTATATATATATATATATATATTTTAAATGTGATGGATGCCAGGTGGAGTAGTGTACTATTGCTGCTTAGCGTTTGAAGTTGGCATGACTGGCATAGCAGGAGAAGGCTTTCTGGAGGGGTGGAATTCAGTCTTCCCCTCTTCCACCAGGCCTTACCAGAGCCTTTCACCTTCTTGGCATCTTACACAGAAAGAGTGCAATATTCCTTACCAATGACATCGTGCCTCAGCTTCGAGGGAACAGCACCTCTGCTCCACTTGTCATTTACTCTCTCTGCTCTCTCTGCAGAGCATCCTGTCTATGCTCTGCCAGATGGAGGTGCCTGTGGAGAGGGGTAATGTAGGGCGAAGTCTCTGGAGGTAACTCTTCTCCCGCCCTCTCCTACTCCACTCCCCACCGTGGGAATTAGGTCTTTCTAAAAGAACTCAGGGACGTCCCACAATGAACTTGGCTTTTGGAGTTTCTCTTGTATTTTCCTTTCCATACCTAATGAGAAAAATGAAAGGATTAGTCTAACCTTTAGACAAGAAAATTCCAAAGGTACTCAGGGCATTGAATCTGCATGTTTGCATTGTGTGAGAAGGAACTTATAAGTACATTTAAAATTTTTGTGCTTAATTTTGAGAGTCAAAGGAGAAAAATTGCAAAGAATAATATAGCAAATATTTTATTCAGTTCATCTAAATTAAGCATTGTTAATATTTTGTCTCATTGACTCTCATTCTTTCCTTTATTTTTGATTTAAGAAATAATACACCACAGATGTAGGTCAGCCTTCCTTAAACCCTATCTCCATGGTTATTCCCTCCCCATCCCAGACCCCTCCCTTCCAGGGTGTTTGAAGTGTTATCTGTTTTCTTCCAGTCTGTTCTCAAATAGATTTACATGTAGTTTTACATATCTCTACATATAGAAATATGTGTACATATTTTTGTGTGCACATATAATATGCCTGAGCATTTAAATGCTATTCACATGAAGAAGATAAACATAAAAAAGCACCTATGGATTAGTTTTTCACATGGTGAATGCATATAACTAGCATCATATTATATGAATTAATCTCCATTTTGCTCTTCTTTTTCAGCATTACTTTCAGTACCTATTTATATTGATATTTATAAATTGAATTGCCTGGGTATAATAATTCTTAGTACATATTAGATACTTAAAATTATTTGTGAAATGAATGAATGAGTATATGAATAGCAATTTCAAAGCTCCTTTTGTGTCAGAGTCTCTATTTAAAACTTGCCTAATGCTGATATAACAACTCATTGTTCATTACCAGGCTCTTTCCCCCAAATATCTTCACCTGCTTGCACTGACATGCCGAAGTATAAAATTTCATGTGATTCCCCTTACTCCTCATTCACTCCACTGGCACATCATAAAAATTTAGAGGTGTTTTCTAAAATAAAATGTTACTCCAATAAACATACTACCTAGTAGTCATTTTCTTCAGTTTTCAACCATGGGAAATTGTACACTCATAGGCTTTAATGCAGCGGTTCTCAACCTGTGGGTCGTGACCCCTTTGGGGCTTGAACAACCCTTTCACAGGGGTCGCCTAAGAAAATCAGAAAAACATATATAATTACATATTGTTTTTGTGATTAATCACTATGCTTTAATTATGTTCAATTTGTAACAATGAAAACACATCCTGCATATCAGATATTTACATTACGATTCCTAACAGTAGCAAAATTACAGTTATGAAGTAGCAACGAAAATAATTTTATGGTTGGGGGTCACCACAACATGAGGAACTGTATTAAAGGGTTGCAGCATTAGGAAGGTTGAGAACCACTGCTTCAATGCATCCTGTCAGCCAAAGCACAATTAAGAGATTGTTACCCAAGAGTTGTCAAATATTGACTCTTCAAGACCAAAAATAAAGCGTCCTGAAGGCCAGCTCTGGGTGGGGACCTCCAGATCCCAGACCCTTGGACAGTCCCAGCTGTTGTGTGAACAGGAGTAGACAGTTTCACTTTCTGTTCTCTGATCCTCTTTCCCACCAAAGGTTCCTAATTTTCAAGAACAATCGTGAAGTTTAGGCTTGTTCCAAACAGTGTTTGTTGACTGAAGGTCATCTCGTTCTTTGCTATCAATTACATCTTTAAAAGGTTCTAGGGAATTGCCAAAGCATTTTTGTTCTGATTTCTTAATAGTATCTACACTAACAAAAGACAAACATGCAAATTGACTGTACCTTCGCTATGCCTTAAGCCATGCCCACCAGCCAATCAGAGCGACTATATGCAAATTAACCCAACCAAGATGGCGGCCGGCAGCCACGGAGCTGGAGCGAGCAGGAGGCTTGGTTGCCCCAATGATGGAGGAAGCTAAGCTTCCTGCTGCCGCAGCGGCTCTGAGCTCCACTCAAAGCAACAAAGTTTCAATTATAGAAGGTAAATAAATCCCAGAATAAAAGATAAAAAGAAAAAAAGGAGAGGCTGGGAACTTCCATCACCAGGGGGGCTTGGCCAGCCTGAAAACGGCCCTCAGCCCCTCACCCAGGCTGGCCAGGCACCCCAGTGGGGACCCCCACCCTGAAGGGGGTGTGACCAGCCTGCAAACACCCATCAGCCCCTCACCCAGGCTGGCCAGGCACCCCAGCAGGACCCCCACCCTGATCTGGGACACCCTTCAGGGCAAACCAGCTGGCCCCCACCCATGCACCAGGCCTCTATCCTATATAATAAGAGGGTAATATGCAAACTGACCCTAACAGCAGAATGACTGGGAATGACTGGTCACTATGACACACACTGACCACCAGGTGGCAGACGCTCAATGCAGGAGCTGTCCCCTGGTGGTCAGTGCGCTCCCACAGGGGGAGCTCTGCTCAGCCACAAGCCAGGCTGATGGCTGCCAGTACAGTGGTGGTGGTGAGACCTCTCCCACTTCCTCAGCAGCGCTAAGGATGTCTGACTGCAGCTTAGGTCTGCTCTCCACTGTCAAGTGGACATCCCCCGAGGGCTGCTGGGCTACCAGAGGGATGTCTGACTGCCAGCCTGGGCCCAATCCCCCAGGGAGTGGGCCTAAGCCAGCAGGTGGACATCCTCTGAGGTGTCCCAGACTGCAAGAGGGCATAGGCTGGGCTGAGTGAACAAATTTTTGTGCACCCCCCCCCCCCCGAGTGAACAAATTTTTGTGCACCGGGCCTCTAGTACATATCATAATTAAGAAAAGGCATAGTACCTTTGCCTTTAGTGTCATTTTAAAATTAATTAATTTTGCTTACTATATATCCAAAAATAATTGCTGGTAGTTGCAAATTTGTTTGCACCAATTATTAGGCTATCAATAGTGGTTAAATTTATTAAATGCTCTGCTAAAATAACATCATATTCAAAGTCTGTCAATTTTACAATTATAGTTTGCAATGAAATCCTAAATGAGTTGTAATTCAAAGAATGATTGTTTTTAATGAACAAATTCATTTTGCTCCTAGACAAAAATAGAATTTGTCCATTAAAATATTCATCCTTTGAATCACAACTTATTCAGGACTTATTCTGTGTTGAAAACTATTCTAGGTGTTGGACACAAAGCGAGTATGTTCTCTGCCATCATGGAACTTGGAGACTAGTAAGACAGTGGGTCGTTTTGTACTATGTCAGCTTAACCAAGCTGAAGCCATGACTCTTCGAATCCCCTTTTGTGTGTGGTTCTGGTTTAGTGTTGGCCATGAGGAACACTGTGATATTTGGAAGGCCCAAGGAAAGGGAAGCAGCGGCTCTGAAAGTTAGTGTAAGGCACCAGGTGTGCCGCACTCATACACATTGTCACTGGTCTGCTGCTCACCTGTTGGCAGCCAGCCTGCAACTTCTGCTTCTGCTGCTGATCTCCTTCAGCTTCTCAGTCCTGGGTCAGACACAAGTGATCCCCATGGTGAAGGGCACCAGCTTCCTCAGCACATTTCACACCTCATCCAGGTTGGAGGTTGCTATAGGCTGAATGTGGGTCACACTTCAAATTCACATATTGAAACCTAAACCCCAACATGATGGTATTTAGAGGTGAGGCCTTTGGAAGGTGATTGGTATAAAAGAGACCCCAGAGAATTTTCCTCATCCCTTCCACCATGTGCGGTTACAGAGAGAAGACGACATCTGTGAACCAGGGGGCAGGCTCTCACAAAACACTGAATCTGCCAGCACCTTCACTATGGACTTCTCAACTTCCAGAACTGTGAGAAATGAATTTCTGTTGCTCTTAAGCCACTCAGCCTATGGTGTTTTGTTACAGCAGCCTGACCAGACTAAGACAGAGGTGGTGTGAGATGGATGTGGGTTTCAATTTGTCCTCATGGGTTTTTGTTTGTCTCTGGTCTCCCCATTTCATGCCTAGAGTTTCTCCCTGACTGTGAGTCCTGCTGGCCCAGGAGACTTCAGGCCCATCACCAGAGGCAAGGCAGCCATCTTCCATAGACATGTTCATGAGCATCTACATTGTGTGAGTTCTCATACCCATAAGTAATCTTGCTTTTGATATTACTCATGGAGGTTCTATTTCTCTGATCAAATCTAACTAATAGAAGAACATAGACATTGATCAAAGAATCATATAATGTACAATTAATAGATTCTTTTAAATATTTGAAGGAAGAATACAAGCTACAATGAGACAATATACATATAGGGACTTAATTTAGATCAGGGAAAGAGATATCAAGGTAGACCCCTTTGAAGAAGTAACATTTTAGCTGGAACTTGGAGTTGAAGTAGATGATAGCCACGTCAAGAGCTAGACAAGAGGAAGAGCAGTGTGTGAGAGCTCTGAGGCCTGCCCAGAGCAGGCACTGAAGGAAGACCAGTGTAGCCAGAGCAGAAGGAAGGAGGTGGCAGTGGTAGAGGAGCCAGGTCATCAGGACCTGTTTTCCAGTTCAAGGTCATGATGTTTACTCAAAGGGGATGTAACAGGAGCTGAGTTCTGTTTTTAAAAGCTTACTCTGGCTGCTCTGTAAAGAAGGCGATCATATATTTGATAATGCTCATCTGATGGTTGAGAATTATTTTCTAGAATGGAATTTCAAGTTCAGCACTTGCTGCCTCTTGAAATAAATTTACCTATCCAAAAAGGAACAAAACACCTCATAGCATGCAGGGAAATAAAGACCTGGCCCCATAGTACTCAAAGCCTGGCCATCAAATACTTGAAAGGTGGCTTGATTGTTATTCTTGACAAATCATATTATAGTATCATTGATGCCTTTTGCCTCCAAACTGTTGGCAAACTCTTTGAGATTTTGAAATAAGTAAGGAAAACTCTACAATGTCAGGATCATTACTGCAACAATTAATTAGAAAGATTATTTGAACCCAGGTTGAAACATATGCAGGCCTTACTCTAGCACAGAGGTCTCAAATATCCACTGAATCTGTCTCCTCCCATTTATCTTGAGCTAGCTACATATTGATAATTTTCCTGCAAAAACATCTTGTTCTGCAATGTGGATGCCTTTCACCACCTCTGTTGCACACCAAGGTCTTGTTATACATTTTTACTCCTCGGGAAGGGAGTTTGAAGCCCTACATCATCAGTATCAAATTTGAAAAGTAGATTTTCAAATCGACTTCTTGGTAGCTTAAATGGCCAAAATCTGAGTCACATAGAGAAAAAAGTAACTGTGGTGATGATGATGATGATGATGATGATGATGATGATGATGATGATGGAACATGAGGGGGAAGGGGTAGGAGAAGACTGGATTAAGAACAAGTTTTGAAATGGAAAAAGCTTCAAGAAAATATAGTTATGGTTTTAGATTGGTTGTTTTCCCCCAAGAAAGAAAACTGTAAAAATGAAGAAATCTGATAAATACTGAAAATAAAGAGATGGGAAACAGGACGTTTATAATGGGTCTGATGAGTGAAAGGTTGTGCAGTGGGAACAAAAAGGGGAGCAGGTGCAAGGATCTTCAAAGAAGTAAAGGCAACAAGACTTGGAGTCTGATGGAACATGAGCAGCACAGGAGAAAGGGTGACTCGGTGGTGATAAAGTTGAAATGGAGGGTCCTAAAGAACAGTAGAGACATTTTTTATTTTTTAAAAAAAATGAAAATTGTACTAATGAGAAAGGTGGTCACTCCAGGCCTTTTCTGTAGGTCAGCAGAAAAGTTGCAAGTCCTTTTATTTGTTTATCCTCAACTGAGGATATTTTTTCCATTGATTTTTAGAGAAAGTGAAAGGGAGGAGAGCGGGGGAGAAAGAGAAAAATCGGCAAGAGAGACACATCGATTGGTTGTCTCCCGCATGCATCCTGACTGGGGCTAGGGATAGGACCTGCAACCCAGGTACATGCCCTTGGCTCAAAATCGAACCTGCAACCCTTCGATGTGCAGGCTGACACTCCAACCACTGAGCCACACCAGCCAGGGCAAAAGTCCTTTTAAAATATGACAAAATTTCCATATTCTTCAAGTATTCAAATGCAATCAAATTACTTCAGCCTGCAGACTGTGTGCCCTCAGATAGCTGAGAAGGTAATGCTATATTTTTCAGGATAGCACAACACATGGACACAGTTTCTCAAGCCAGAATGGGTGTGGTCTTTATTTGCACTTGGCCTTTCTTTTTGTTAAATTTGTAGCCTTGGTTTAATGAATGCAGAGGGATAATGTTTCAGAATGGTAATGACATGATTGGTATCTTGATTGACTCTTTGTATTCCTGTGAACATGCCTATATTATATCAGAGACAAATAGTATTATAAGCATGTGATCATGCACTCAAATATTCTCCTGTGCATGTTAAAGGCTGCCCTTGGTATTCACTGTAATATACTTCCCCTAAAAGCACATGTTCTGGGGAGGAGAGAGTGGTATTTGCTGCCAGCATCTACCTGGCACCTCCAGTCCCAGCTCCAGTGACCTTTCCTCTTGCACCTCCTGGGTTTCTCACTAACCTCCTCCCTGTCTGGCACTTTCTTTGCTTCTAGGTTTTATAAGTAGGAGAGAAGATTCCATTATTTATGTGGTTGGCAAGAGAAAAATAGCAATTCTTATCTGTGATGAAAAACTCCTCAGATGAGGGAGTTGTGAACACTGCATTACTTGGCTCAGAATCACAGAAGGCTGAGAAGGTGGGGCTAGGCATCGTGTTTTATTTATTTATTTATTTATTTATTTATTTATTTAATCCTTACCCAAGGATATTTTTTTTTCCATTGATTTTTAGAGAGAGGGAAAGAGGGAAAAACAGGGAGAAATATTGATGTGAGAGAAACACATTGATTGGTTGCCTCCTGCACTCTCCATGACCAAGGCCCAGGCTGGGGAGGAGCCTGCAACCATGGTACGTGCCCTGCTCCAGAATAGAACCCGGGACCCTTTGGTCCGCAGGCCAATGCGTTATCCACTGAGTCAAACCGGCCAGGGCTCGGCATCATGTTTTCAACTGCGAAGCAGAATCTGCTGTACTTGGTTTGCAGTCCATTACTAAGGGTCTGCAGCTCCCACTTCAGTACCCAAAGGGGGAAGCCTCAGGAGCCAGGAGAGTGTGTTGTGTAGTAAGCTCTGCTTGTGGACAGTTCCTGAAAGGGAACATTCTTGGCACTTCTCATGCTAGGCATTTTGATTTGTTTTATATATTTTTTCCAACATAAAAGCAGTATCAGTTTCAGCCTTAATTCTCTTTCAAGCCTACCATGGATGTTCAAAATCCACTAAATATTAAAACAGCCTCAAGTAGCTTCAAAGTTTCTACTTCCACCTTTCTCCCTTCAAATCACACACAATCGCTATGTTGTACATATCACTATGTTGCTTTAAAACCTTATATTTGGAAAGACTAGAGCTCCAGAAAATCTGGGAAATTATTAAGCAAAACTGTCCCAAGAGTTATTGTTTCATGGGTACAAGTTTCACTGTGGGATGATGGGAAAGCTCTGGAAATGAATAGTGGTGATGATTGCACAGCAATGTGAATATGCTTACCTCCACTGAATTGTCCACTTAAAAATGGTTAAAATGGTACATTTTATGTCAGGCATAGTTTTCCAAAGTTTTAAAAAAAAGTCAGGCCAGTGGTTGCCTGAAGAAGGAAGTATGGGCATGTGTTCAGAAGGGCCTGGCATTGTTCTATTTTTGCTCTAGTGATTACATGTCTATTCAGTAATTATTATACTTACCTTTGACTTATATTTCAGGGTATAATTGTGTTATATTTCCCAATAAAAAGATTAATTAAAAAGTAAAAAACAAAACTATCCCCAGTGGTAAGAATTATGGGGCCTTGGGAAGTCCGTTCTCCTGCGCTGGGCCTCGTTTTTTATTTTTAATGTGAAAGGAATGACTTAGACTAAAAGATCTCGGAAGCCTTTCTACTGCCAACATCCTGTAATTGTACACAATAACTGCTTGTGAATGAAATAACTACAAGGACCGAAAGTCCTAGGCGTATCATTTATTTTGACTGGTTTTTCCTTCACAGAAATTGAAAAATCAAGGGAGGGGGGAAACCTTGGAGCAATAAAACCCACTGACTAAGATGAATAAACATAGGTTGTATAAAATACAGCGTGGGTGAAGTTGACTGCTCTAAAATACAAACATGAAGAGAAAGGATTGTTTGTCACTTAATCTAGGGTAGGAGGGAACAGAGAGCGCCACAAGAGGTGGGGTGGGATAGAGAAATGTGAGGCAGGCACACCTGAGTTGGAGAGATAGGAAAGGTCTTTTACCATCTTGAGGAGGAAGGGGCTAGCACCCATGTTTGTTCTCATCTCTGCCAAATACAGGCTCTCCAGTGGCAGCTCTGCTTCTACACAAAACCATCTTCTTCCCCATAAATCTTTGTTTTCCAGATCCACCCCCAAAGCCTCAATGGGCAACTACACCTAACTGATGCCTTCCTTATGTGTTCCCATTTCCCAATAGCCTCCTCATCCTCAAGGCCCACCTGAAGTCTTCACCCTCCTACAGGCCTTAGTGAGTCACCCTGTCCCTTTCCTTGACATACTGTCTCCTGATTCTCTCCCTCCTTCTCTGTCCCCTCCTCTTTACTTCTCCATTAACTCCACTTTTTGTCCCACATTTAAATGTGCTACAGTATCTAATATTCCAAAAGCTCAACAAAGGGGTTGGTAAACCATGGCCTGTAGCCCATTGACAGTTTTTATAAAAGTTTTGTTGAAACACAGCCACACTCATTCACTTATTCATTCTATATGGCTGCTTTTGTGCTCCCACAGTAGGGTTGAGTAATTGCCACACAGACCAAATGACCCACAAAGCCTGTAATATTTACTATCTGGCCCTTTACACAAAAATTTTGCCATTCCTTGCTCCAATGCATTAAGCTGTTGATATTTCTTTTGGATAATTGCCTTTGTTAAGTCTGTATTTTATTTCTCCAACTTGAGGACCAGGACTGTGTCTAATATGCTTTTGTGTTCTTCCAGAGCTCATCTCACTGCCTTGCACCTTATTAGAATCTCAGTAAATAATGATTA